ACCTGATGTTCTGTTGCTTTTGCCATTTGTGCATTAAGGGTGCACAACAGAAGCCCACTGGTTTGGTTCAGTGGTTGAGCATTGACCTGTGACCCAGGAAGTCAAGGTCCAATTCCTGGTCAGGGCACATGCCCAGGTTGAAGGCTCAATCTTCAGTGTGGGGCGTGCAGGAGGCAGCTGATCGATGATTCTCTCATCATTGATGTTTCTATCTCTCTCTCTCCCTTCTCTGAAATAAATAAAAATAGATTTTTTTTTTTTAAAAAAGGGTGCACAACAGAAAATGAAAGCCGTGTCTTGTGACCATAAAAGGAAATTTCTTTTATTAAAAAAAGTAAAGTCTATTATTTCTCCCATACCTTGCCTATGATTTTCAATGAATATGGCAAAAACCATCAGAAGAGTAGAATACTATGAGAAAGAATGATTTAAGATTGGAAGGCTTGTAACATGCCCTAGGTCAGCAACCATGGGCTGACCTCAATTCTTTTTGTTGACTGATTCTTCTCCACAGTTAATATTTGAATGTTGGCATTTGTATTTAAAAATCAGTATATCTAAGAATTTGGGGTTACACCATACTTAAAAAGTACTCTTACTACACCATGGATTTATTTATTTTAAATTTTAATTTCTTATTGAAATTGTAGAGAAAGGGAGAGAGAGAGAGAGAGAGAGAGAGAGAGAGAAACATTGATGTGAGAAACATCAATCGGTTGCCTCCTGTTCATACCCCGACAAGGGATTGAACCCACAACCTGTGTTTGTGGCCTGACCAGGAATCAAACCTGCACCTTTCAGTGTATGGGATGATGCTCCAACCAACGGAGCCACACTGGCCAGGACTACACCATGGTTTTAAAACAATGTTTCTTAAGAACCAACTCTTTAGACCCTTTAAATTATAGTAACTTAATAGTATATTTTAAGAAGTTTAAGATTTAGATTAAATCAAAATGATAAAAAGCTGATATCCCTGTTAACTTTTTGACTATACTCTCCAGTTCTCTGAAGGTCTATGATATATGACCTACACCAGGGCCTGTCATTGTTACGACATTTACTCCACTAAGAACACCCGATTACAGAAAGCAAAAGCCTCACTGTGAAACCAAATCTTCCTTCATACTAAACCACTAACGCATATACCACTTTAGAAAGATAAGCACCTTTGAAAGAAGATAACCCTTTCAAAATTCATAAGCAACATATCTTCAGCAAATATATTACCTACACTAGGACCTGTCATTGTTACGACATTTACTCCACTAAGAACACCCGATTACAGAAAGCAAAAGCCTCACTGTGAAACCAAATCTTCCTTCATACTAAACCACTAACGCATATACCACTTTAGAAAGATAAGCACCTTTGAAAGAAGATAACCCTTTCAAAATTCATAAGCAACATATCTTCAGCAAAAGAATTCCATCAATAGGCCCTCCCACTTAATATCAAGAATAGAAGAAATTTGAGAAGAACTCCATAGTTAACAGCAGAAGTTATTTTTTTAACCATGTAAAATAAGAGTAAATCACAAATAGAATATTTCAATCTCTTTTAGGACATAAAATAATGATGAAGTTAATATAATTTCTATTTTTTTTTTTTTGCTAAAAGTATTACAAAGGGTATTACATATGTTCGGTTGATCTCTTACCCCCTTCCCTCCTGCCCCCCAACCCTCCCCAGCCTTCCCGCTGCAGTTTGACAATCTGTTTGAGGCAGCTCTGCCTCTGTATCTATTATTGTTCAAGAGTTTGTAATGGTCTCTATTATCCATGAATGTGTGAGATCATGTGGTATTTTTCCTTCATTGACTGGCTTATTTCACTTAGCATAATGCTTTCCAGTTCCATCCATGCTGTTGCAAATGGTAAGAGTTCCTTCTTTTTTACAGCAGCATAGTATTCCATCGTGTAGATGTACCACAGTTTTCTAATCCATTCATCTACTGATGGGCACTTAGGCTGTTTCCAGATCTTAGCTATGGTGAATTGTGCTGCTATAAACATAGGGGTGCACATATCCTTTCTGATTGGTATATAATTTCTATTTTTAAATAGCATTTAAATGTAGATTATACCAGCTAGGAAGACAATCAAGTAGGAAAAGTAAATTAAACCTATTTTAAAATCAATCTAAGCTGGAGTCTTTGTGCCCCTAAAGCTTTTTGGGGTATTTACCTTATCTTACTGGAAAGTCAGTAAGCTGTAGAGAATTCCCTTGTCACCAACCTGAGCACCTCTGCCCCCGCCAGGATGCCGCCTCTCAGCCCTCTGCTGGCATCACTTTGGCAGTGGAGCCAGGCAAGCTGCCAATATCCAGGAAGGGCAGGGGACCATCCCTCAGTTACGTCACACTCGGCCACCTCGAAAGTCACATCTATTGCAGAAGCCGTCTCCAGTCATTGTGTGTCTGGGTGTGGTTTTAAAAATCATCTCATTTATGAAGCAGCAATGTTTCGGCCAGAAAGCATTTCTACAGTTGTGGTTATTGTTCAATGGCTGACTTTTTTTTTTCATTTGAAAGTGAATTTAAATAATTTACTGTGGGATGTGGAGTATTCTGTGTCTACTGCTTCAAGACAATCACTTGCTTTGTTATTTCATTCAGTTCTGAATTAAAGCTAAGCTACTGACACAGTGTTCAATTTAAGCTTCTTTAATACTGCTGAAAGGCATGTGTAGTTCATATAAAACATACTTCGTGAACAGTAGCAGATGCTTCATATAAATTAACACTTTGATATACATGTCTTACGGTCTGTGAGAAAAGAGAAAGAACAATATGTCGGTTTTGCTACATTTTAATAGGTTTTTGGAGAGAGAATTTTTTAGGTCTTGTCAGCAACATCAAACAAAAGGTCCTGAGTCCAGCAGGGTACGGAGCGCTGCCCCTACCTCAGTTTACATGACGGGAGGAAGTGTGGTTCTTGCCCCTTAAGGAGCTTACAGTCTGGGGGGCTGACAACTCACAGTCTAAGAGTTGAGTGAACAACGAAGTTATTTAAGGCAATTCCTCATCCCCTCCAGCTATTGTGGACGGAACCATTTTGAAATTAATCTGATCAAGATGAGAGACCAGACTAAACCTGGCTGAGAATTCTTTCAGGCTCCTAAAGTTTCCGACATCTATCTCAGTAAACAGAATTGACCCAACGGACAAATGAAAGATTAAATCTCTTGAAGTGCAAGGGCTGGGACAACTTAATTGTGGTTACTTATTTTAAAAAGCAAACCCACTGAACAGTATGACAGGTTATTACACTAGTTTAACAACAGGCCAAGTACTGCACCACATTCCCCGCGGGCCAGCACTGGTCATGGAAAGTAGTGACATGAAACATGTGGGCTCTACAGAAAGCCCGCCCCGATTTAATGTTCTGTGTATCAAACAGGCGCCTCGTGTATACTATGAAAGTTTTATTTATGCCCCATTAAGTAAAAAATAATGTAAATAGTCAAATTATAACAAGTTAATGACCTGCATATTTCCATATGGATGAATGGTGATATATCTAAACAGGAAATAAATGGCAATCCTATGTACCTATGTAAAAAAAAAAAAAAATTAAAAAAAATAGAGTATCTCTAAATTTCGCATACTTGTCGCTGTAAGAGGTATGCAGGTTTCACAATCAGTTGTCAGAAAACCAGCAGTTATTCCTGCAGTATCTCGTTAGCATCTGACTCAAATTATGTTTAGATTACATGATTTAGAAGACATTATTAACCCACCTAAAAATTGGTAATTATTCTGAGATGGTTCCGCGCTAACCCTAGAATCACTATCAGAATGAATAACAATATGATGTAGAAGAAGAGCAAATCAACACGACTAAAAATATGCTCACTTTCTGAAACAATCTTGTCCTCTGGGGAAATCACAGCTACAACCTGGGAACACTCCCATACGGGTACTGATCTGGCCAAGGCACACTCTACGCAGGAGAAGGATGAGATCAGGTGAACTTAGGCCACCTTCCAGCAGCAGCCTAGAAATTTACTTCTGGGACAGCATAGCTGGTCCAAACTCTCCAAAGCAGTTCCACACTATCCTACCCACATCGGCCCAAAGTTTGACCTTGATTCAAAAAACCAAAAGAGCGCAGTGGAGCAGAAGGGAATAGACGTGTAAACTCTAGTACATTCTTATTGCTGTAGTAAGTTTGAAGATGAGCACATCCTACCCACAATAGTGTTGTTCCAGGAAGCAGGGCAGTAGTGGTCAATTAGAAAGGAGAATATTAACTGCACACTCAATAAAAAAGTAAAAACATGTTTCAAAACCTACAATAAGCCTGTATCCAAAGGAGTCTGACATGTCAGTGACGTGCTGGACATGGGTTCTGTGCTGCAGCTTTGCAGTGGGCTCCCTCTGGCCCGCTGGCCTGGCACGGCCTGCTTCCTGCCTGCTGAAGGGAGAGGATTCTACAGAGCTACGATGGTTCTAGTGAGTGGTAGAATTCACAGAAGTTCCAGGTTACTCATGGCAGGGTCATTCCTTGTGCAAAGTTTGATGTAGATGAAGATAAAGTGGTTTCTTGGTCAATAATTGCAATTTCTTTCTTTTAAAATCAGTGGGTTTCTTGTATCTGTAACCACAATAGAAAAACCATTGTTTAAAATACTTTGATAATCGATCTATTTCAAGGTCACATACTAAGAAGAAATACTAGTCACCATTCCATTAGTACTGATTCCATACGCGCATCACTTACAGTTCTATTACAATGGGCCCAGGTTTAATCTCATCCATCTCCATGAAGGCGAAACACTTGGTACTGGTAAACCTTTTTTTAGGTTTGTAGTGTTTGAATTCAAAGAAGATAGCTGCACCTAAGAGATGGAAAAAGCATTAGCCAGGGACAGCACCATTCTCGTCAATACATTGTCTTTGATCACCAGAAGCATATGAACAAGCAACTGGCATAATTTTATAAAGCAACCTTTGCTATACGGTCTGATGGTATGTCTGTGGCTGTCACTCCAAACTCTAGCAAAATTTCTGAGCCAGACTGATCGAAGAACGACCCGTGAAATGAGAATAGCCTAGGAAGATGAGCTGACATGCTTGTAAACGTGAAGAAAGTACAGCATATTCATTAGTATTAATATCAGTTCAAACTAGAGTCACTGTACATAACGAATTCAAAGCTGGGAAAAATGAATGGAGTCAACTTCTGAATACAGTCCTATTTTTAACACCCTGCAAGTCAAGTCGTCAAGAACACGGCCCAATAAAACAAACATAATCAAATAGCCCGTGAAACACGCCCCCTCACCCCACATCAGAAACATTTCTCAGAGCAATGGAGTAAAATGGAAAACAAAGTTTTGTTGTATTTTCCTGCAGAAGGCACACTTCACACGGACATTTCGTGGACATTATTTCTTAAGCACGTCCTACCTACTTATGCTGCTAACACAGCGATTCTCAAACTCTGGAGGGCCCAAGCATTTGCATCTCACCAGGAAGCTGTTCACTCAGAGACTCACCCTCTAGTCTAACGGGAGCACTGCAGGACAAGTCTTTTATTTTTAAAAATATTTTTATTGATTTCAGAGAGGAAGGGAGACAAAATCATCAATGATGAGAGAGAATCATTGATCAGCTGCCTCCTGCACACCCCACACTGGAGATCGCCCCACACTGGGGATGGAGCCCACAACCAGGACACATGTCCTGACTGGAAATCGAACTGCAACCTCCTGGGGTTCATAGATCGACAATCCACCACTGAGCCACACCAGCCGGGCAGGACCGTCCTTTAGGACACAGGAACAGCAGCACCCGATTTGAGAAGGAAAAGATCAAATCTTTTAGAGCAGCGGTCGCCAGCCACTGGTGGTCGGTGAGGTGTGAAAGGTTGGCGACCGCTGTGTTAGGGATGTGGCAACTGTTCCAGAGGCACATGTGTGTCTTTTTTTATTTTTTAATATATTTTATTGATTTTTTACAGAGAGGAAGGGAGAGGGATAGAGAGTCAGAAACATCGATGAGAGAGAAACATCGACCAGCTGCCTCCTGCACGCCCCCCACCGGGGATGAGCCCGCAACCAAGGTACATGCCCTTGACCTGGGAAAAATGAATGGAGTCAACTTCTGAATACAGTCCTATTTTTAACACCCTGCAAGTCAAGTCGTCAAGAACACGGCCCAATAAAACAAACATAATCAAATAGCCCGTGAAACACGCCCCCTCACCCCACATCAGAAACATTTCTCAGAGCAATGGAGTAAAATGGAAAACAAAGTTTTGTTGTATTTTCCTGCAGAAGGCACACTTCACACGGACATTTCGTGGACATTATTTCTTAAGCACGTCCTACCTACTTATGCTGCTAACACAGCGATTCTCAAACTCTGGAGGGCCCAAGCATTTGCATCTCACCAGGAAGCTGTTCACTCAGAGACTCACCCTCTAGTCTAACGGGAGCACTGCAGGACAAGTCTTTTATTTTTAAAAATATTTTTATTGATTTCAGAGAGGAAGGGAGACAAAATCATCAATGATGAGAGAGAATCATTGATCAGCTGCCTCCTGCACACCCCACACTGGAGATCGCCCCACACTGGGGATGGAGCCCACAACCAGGACACATGTCCTGACTGGAAATCGAACTGCAACCTCCTGGGGTTCATAGATCGACAATCCACCACTGAGCCACACCAGCCGGGCAGGACCGTCCTTTAGGACACAGGAACAGCAGCACCCGATTTGAGAAGGAAAAGATCAAATCTTTTAGAGCAGCGGTCGCCAGCCACTGGTGGTCGGTGAGGTGTGAAAGGTTGGCGACCGCTGTGTTAGGGATGTGGCAACTGTTCCAGAGGCACATGTGTGTCTTTTTTTATTTTTTAATATATTTTATTGATTTTTTACAGAGAGGAAGGGAGAGGGATAGAGAGTCAGAAACATCGATGAGAGAGAAACATCGACCAGCTGCCTCCTGCACGCCCCCCACCGGGGATGAGCCCCGCAACCAGGTACATGCCCTTGACAGGAATCGAACCCGGGACCCTTCAGTCGGCAGGCCGACGCTCTATCCACTGAGCCAAGCCGGTCAGGGCGGCACATGTGTGTCTTGTGCGATCCTCCCCCGGGGCTTGAACATCGAAAACACAACTGAATCTCCGGTGGTAAAGGGGCTCCGAATCTTCTGTTCAGAGAACACTGGCATCCGGTGGACAAAGGCAAGAGAAACGTTTCCTCCCAAGAACCATGCAACTTGGAAACGTGACTTCACCTTTTTAATCATTTGCTTGTGTCCTTTCCCATCCTCCTGCCAACTAACGCAAACGACAGGGTCTGTCTGCCCAATAGATTCAGCTGGAAAAAATGTTTCTTTCAGCTACTAGAGCCTTAATCTTCACAGAGCCCTGCTTCCCCAGCCCTTCAGTATGAGAAAGCTTTTATTCTATTCTGTTGTTAAGGATGGTAAGATTTTACTATGGAAGACTGCTTTATTATGTGTTATTTATTATACAACTAGATAACACAATTCCCGATTCCCACGTTTAAATATAAATACATATCTCATTCAATTCCATAAACACGATGTGACATTTACTTTTTCCAACGCTGCTAGGTCCACCAGGCCCACACACATGAACAAGAGGAGAACTCTGAGCACAAGGGGTCAGTTACTGACGATTACACACCTTTGGTTAATTTTTCAACATGCTTCTGGAGCTCAATGTCCACGTTAAAGTGAACGTATGTATCTTCTTTTCGGGAAGCCACAGGAGTATCTTGCACAGGAGTTAAATCTATGCCGTTCAGATCTAGAGAGGAAAAGAGTTTCTGCTCAGCAGCCTTCAAATGCACAGACTCAAACACACAGGAACCCCCGGGATTCTGTTTCCTAGAGGCCGGCAGACCCCCAGCTAACGGGAGCTCCCACCTGGTGTGGGCGGCCACCGAAGGAAGACCTGTGGTCTCCAGAGGTATGTGGAGGGAGCTGAGGAGCGAGGGGGGGACCTCAGGGACCAGCAGAGGAAGCCTTGCCGTGACTGGGTACCTGAGGAGGCTTGGAGAGCACACAATGTAATCCTATAGTTCAGAGGTGAAGGAGCATTGTGTGTCTTCCCCAGGGAACAGGCCATTATGTTCCTGTGAGCAATAACACTTCGGAATGTGAATAATATCCCTACCTCCCACCTGATCAAGTGCATGGCATGGGAGGGCCTGTGAACTGACCTCTATCAGAATTCCCCTGTTCTATTCAAGTCGGAGGACCAATCGGACATGAAAGCTGCCCATGAAACCTCTCCATACGTGAATGCTTTTGCATGTATATAACATACATTCTGGTTCCATTTGCTGTAACATAACCTGATTTACAACAGCCAGATGGTGCACTATGTATGGAGCATGGTTTTAATTTCCTGGAGCCGGGAATCTTCCAGTTTAATCAAATTCAATGGGGACTCGCTTAAGGACTCCTCGGTGTTTTATTCCACAGACCCATCTTAAGGGACTTAAAACGATTTAGCACATTTAATTATTTCAGTTCCTAAAGATATTTACACAAAAACATAGTTCAGTCCAAGGTGTATGCACAGGTAACATAATAGCTATCACGGTATCATGACATTGTGTGTTTTACCGTGTATATTCCCAAATGAGACATGCAGCTTTGCTAAGGGCCTATGAACAGTGTCGGGCACAAATGCTTTCCAGTCGACCGTGGACTTGATAACTGCACATCAGGAGATAAGGCAGCACCGCACTAGTGCTGTGGATCATGGTTTCTCCATGTCACAATTTTCCTCCGTGGCCGAGTTCCTTTTTCTTTTATTTGGTACTAATGAACCCACATGGGTCTGAAGTTATTTCTGCCATTGGTGAAAGCTCCCTCCAATTCATTGCAGTCCAGATCTGTTTCACTGATTTGCCTCAAACTGCAGATTAACTGTGGGTTGGATTAACTGTGTTGTCATTTCTGAATAACTGTATGACAACTTCATTCTCAATCACTCAGTCATTATTTTTAAAAGGCCACAGAGTGCTTTACAATAAAGTTCTGCATAAAATGCGTGGCGATGCAACAAAAGAACTCAACCGCTGTGGTTCCCCTCTTAAACCAAAGACAGAAAAAGTTGTTTTCAAGGCATCAATCATTGGATGGTTAAAAAACAAATTCTAAGACTAACCGTGTTTAATAACCTTGGTAACATAGTTCAGGACAAGAAACACGCCACTTTTTAGCGTCCCCCAGGACTGCGTTCTGGGTGTGGATGTTTACGGATATGTCCTGTTTCCCTTCTCCACGGATGATTCATCGACGCCCTGACTCTTGCCCACCTGGGCACGGCTCTCCCGGACAGGAACGAGAGGGCCTCGCATGGAGGCACCAGGGGACCGGAGAGCACGGCTGTGCAAAGGGAACCACACACCCTTGGGAGGTGGGGGACATTTTTTAAACCTGTTTCCTGAAAGATGTCTTTGCCGTGAAGACAGTATATATGTCTAGGCAGCACCCTTGATGGAATTTTAATAAAAGACATAGGAAAAAAACCTCGAAAGCAAACATGAGTGTAAGTTATAATAGGAAAATGCTTTTAGTAAATCTCTCAGAAATGTTCGGAGAAGGAATGATGCCCTCTTCTCGGGGATCTTGCCTCACTGTAGAATGAATGAAAACTGAGCTGTCATAGACACGAGAGTCCCGCCGCCCCCATTTATCCTAATGAGAAACATTTTATAAAAGTCACCAGAGGGAAAACATGTAGGCACAGTTATTTACCCTTCACACTGACTGTGATATAGGGGTCAATGCACTGCCCGGCATCTTTCAGACCGATCTTCTCAATTCGGATCGTTAGTAACGTCATTCCTGGTTCCGACGGCAACCTCGGTAATAAAGTACCTGGTAACAGAGAAACAGCAATAAAAATGAGCTCCACTGGTAATTTCAGAGTCAATATTTTATGTTATTTGCTTTCCTACCTACCCCCACCCCCCAGGTCCAGGCGTAAAATCACAAGTACCACGACAGTGCACAGGAAAGAGTGAACAGAGCTGGACCGAGACTGTTACTCTGGGAAAGGCCTGCTTGCAAGGTCAGCCCTGGGCACATGTCTGGGAACTTGGATTTGGGGAGGGTCCCCACAGCCCCTGATAAGAACAGCCACTGTGCCTAAGCTGTCCGGGCAAACAAGGCGGTCTATGTTGAGTACCTGCTTTCCTCTGGGAGGAAGGACTTTGGCCAGTGCTCGGCAGAGGGTGGCTAAGTGATCAGCCCCAGTACCAGCTCGGGCACTGAGTCCCCACTGTGCTGGCCGACAGAACACATCTCCGTGTGCTGCCCCCATTTGTCGCTGGGGGAATTAATCACAACTCGACTCTACAGGGAGGACTCCCGGAAGCTTGCGCCTGGCTTCCCTACTTGCTGGCATACCTTTTCCCTTTGCTGGTTCTGTTCTTGTATTTTTCTCACTGCAATACATTATAGCTGTGAGTACAACTGTATGCTGAGTCCTCCTAGCGAATTACCAAACCTGAGGGTGGTCTTGGGGCCCCCGACACAGTAAGATACTTTCAGACCACACTTCCAAAATAGCTCCTGCCAATAACATGGCCATAAACGTTTGCTTCAGACTGACACGGGCTCTGGAGATGCCTTACTCCCCACTAGCGAGAACCAAAATCAGTTCCTATCACCCTGACCTGGGATTAAGTTATGACTATTTTAAAACAAAGATACCCACCGGGAACTCTAGCAGGAAAGGAATCAGGAGACCCTGCTCCAGCACCACCCTCTTCCTCATCTTCTTCAAATTCCAAATTCTCTTCTTCACCAGGTGCTAAAATTCTTCTACATGCAAAAGGACAGACATAGAATGAGTACAAAACCAAGTATTCTAGGGAAGCCTCCCAGCTGCTCATTCCCAGGTAAGATGCTGATATAAACAATGTTGACACAAATAGGTGTAAAATAAGAAAACAAATATGGGTGCGTATTTACTTTACCTTAAGGGGACAGGCTGAACGTCAAATGGGAATTCTTTGTTATAGGTAAGAATATTCTTTAGGACTAGAATAAAAAGAGAAAGGAACATGAATTCTTCTATGAATCAAATTTAAAATTTTACCACCAATGACTGTTTTTAATCAATTTTCTCTGCAAAGTAATAATTTTTGAAAATGGCCAATCTTATCGTGTATTTGTCCGAGGACTTAGAGGTCTTAGCAAATGGCAATCTCCGTAGGATGCTCCAGCCACTGATAATTTCAAAGCTCTGTCAGATCTCTAAGGAGAGGGTAAGTTCCAGCGCCTCCAAGCCCCATGGAAAACAAACCCCCAAATAGTTCTGTGCACAAAGTCCCAGGTGAGACATGGGAACAGACAAGTAATGCCTCCTTCCTGGAGCATGACATTCAAAGACTGACATCAAAGATGACCAATCAGAGGTAGATGAACACGTCTTAGTCTATGTCATTAGATTTCCCCTCAACTACATGAAACTGGTAAAGTTTGGTAAATCTGGTTATAATGTTCATATATAAAGTTTACTGTATACACACATATTATACACATACACATAAACATTATCATTTATGATAAAGGTTATTACATACATACATATACATAACATACATGCACACAAACATAAAGAAAGACTTATCCTCAAGGGAAGTCTGAAACCACACGCTCTGGCACCACCTCCTGGACTATGGCTGTGCTCAATGATTACATTCTGGCATGTAAACTTACAGAGAGGAGTTCTACTCTTCTGCCTACGTTGGAGAGGTGCTATAAGCATGTGCTTCATATCTAGCCTTATGGGTTTCCAGTAATTACCTGCAATTATATGAAGGTAAAGTAACGGCATTAACTGGGCAATCCAAAAAGTTCCCAGGACTTTACATTCATCTTATTCAGCCTAATTTTGGAGTCCTGCAGCTTAAAGCTAACATAGGTATGGCGTATTGTCATCTCAAAGGAGGAAATCCCAGTGCACAGACTACAATTATATGACTTCAACAGGAGTGAGCTGTGTTTACCAGACTTCTTCTAATAGAGCGCCCCTACTAAGTCCTTCAGTGAGAGAGAAATCTGAGACTTGTGTCTAGGTTCTCATTCATTCTCATTCTCTCTCTCTCTCTCCCTCCCTCCAGCTCTCACCCTTATCCTTCCTCTCACTCTCTTCTTCTCAACAAATGTGCCTTGAATGTCCACAGTGTCCCATGATGTGTGAGATACGGCAGTGATGAAGACAGAGGTTTCTTGCTCTCACATATGGATCTTAGGCCACAGTGAGGACAAGCAGACAATAGATGAGCCAACAACTTAACAAGGTAACGTAAGACTGCGCTTAGCGTGATCAAGGCCGCAAACAGGAAGCCCGTGCAAGTGGAGGAGAGAACGTCAGCTAAGGTGGCAAGGTAGGCCTTTCCCAACTGACTTGTTAGGAGATGTGTGAGCTGTGACCTGGAATGAGAGGAACCGTCTCTAAGCAGCTCTGGGACAAGGGCTTTCCAGGTATTAGAGAACAGGCGAGAGCAACAACAAAGGCTCTGAGGCAGGAACGAGTCTGACTTGTTCAAGGAATAGAACGGACTGTACAGCTGAATTGGTTAAAGAAAGGGAAGTGGCAGAGATTTGAAATGTGATATGTTGATATTACTAAGGATTAACATAAGAAAATTAAATGACTAGCACTTTCAAGATCTTAGTTTTAGTATATTTCAGACAGGATTATCGAGAGATTTAAAAACCCTGAAGGAAAAATACATTAGCAAAATAAAGCAACCAAGTCCGCATATTGAAAGGTATAGTCCAGGGGTCCTCAAACTACGGCCCACGGGCCACATGCAAATACAAATATTGTATTTGTTCCCGTTTTGTTTTTTTACTTCAAAGTAAGATATGTGCAGTGTGCATAGGAATTTGTTCATAGTTTTTTTAAAACTATAGTCCGGCCCTCCAACGGTCTGAGGGACAGTGAACTGGGCCCCTGTTTAAAAAGTCTGAGGACCCATGGTATAGTCATTCATTAATTTTCCTTTGCCTATAGTCTTAGAAGAGGCAGAGGCTAGTTGGACTAAGTACACTTAACTTAAAATGTATCAAACACCAACTTGTAGGAAATGATTCTGATACAATAATTCACTCACAAGTACCTAGCTTTAATCAAATCAAAATTACAGAGCATATCCTACGGAGATACAATATGCACACTGACGTTCCTTTAGGAGGCAAGAGCAAATCAAAGCCATCTGAAAAGCTAGTAAGTACCAAGGAGGGAGAAGTCCACATGAAAAGAACTATGTAAATTCAAAATATAACAGAATGAATCCCAATAATGCTATCTTTCCTTTCCATTCCTACCCCGAATCTTAAAAAAAAAAAAATAAATAAATAAATTATTAAAAAAATAAAAGCAAACAAAAACACAAGAAATAGAAGACTAATGCAGATTTTGGTCCAATCTTCTAATATGTGTGTCAGTAAGCTCCCAGGAGCTTGAACAGGAGAACTATGATAGTTAGGATTGATGTCGATATTCTCCCGTTACCGGTATTAATATAGAGTGCAGTGGAGGAAACAGGCTCTGGAGCCACTTAGAGCCATGGTCAATACCAAGTTCTGAATAGTGTGGTGAAGGCTTGGGAGGGGTGGGTGTGAGGTGGAGCAGGTGAATGGGGGAAAAACAAAAACAAAGGGGACCTCTGTAATACTTTCAACAATAAAGATTAAACAAAACCAAAAAAAACCAGGTCTGGCATTTATGAGCTGTAAGGTCATGGGCACGTGTCAGTTAGCAAACTGCAACTGCGTGGATTTACCCGAATGCTATTAGGTAGCTGCTACTCTAAACATTGGTAACCATGGTCACCCATGAAAGATCCTTTCAGGCAAGAGGAGAAATAATTGGACATGTTTAGAGGGAGAGATAATAAAGACCTAAGGATAAACAGTTTACAGTCATCCTACATATCTATTTGATTTTAAAGTTTTATTTGGAAACAAACTGGAAAAAAAACCACATCAAACAAACAAAAATTGCCGAAACCGGTTTGGCTCAGTGGATGGAGCATCGGCCTACGGACTGAAGGGTCCCAGGTTCGATTCCGGTCAAGGGCATGTACCTGGGTTGCGGGCACATCCCCAGTAGGAGATGTGCAGAAGGCAGCTGATCGATGTTTCTCTCTCATCGATGTTTCTGACTCTATCTCCCTCCCTTCCTCTCTGTAAAAAAAATCAATAAAATATATTTTTTTAAAAAAACAAAAACAAAAATGTAATGGAAAATAGTGACTAAATAAGGAGCCAAAGTCCTAATTATGCTTATCATTGAAAAATTGATTATAATTTTCTTTAGAAACATTATATAACCATTAAATAACCATTAAAGCTACCAACAGTATATATAGCCAGTCACTAAAGACCATATATTATATGATTCCATTTATAAGCAATATCCACACAGGCAAATCTAGAGACAGAAATTAAACTAGTGGCTGGGAATTGGGGAGTTGGGCGAAATGGGTGGATGCTACTGGGTACAAAATTTTTTTCTGGGGTGATGAAAGCACCCTAATATTGACTATGGTGGTATTCAATACTTGTGCCTTTGCCTAGACCGCAAACATTTTCTCTAAGAGACCATTCATTTGAACCAGCAAAAAAAGCTTTATTTAGCAGCATCCTAACCACCAAAACATTTGAAGAAATTGTTTACTTCAAAAGAGCTTTCAAGAAGGTAAAGAAAATGAGGACAATAAAAAAAAATATTTTGTAGAGCAGCTCAAACAGCTGGACTGTAGCTTTGAATGTCATGGTATAAATGGACATCAATGACTATAATTTTAAATTCTCCAGTAGGCATGACTACAAATGCTTACCAAAGTAACTGTAGTCTTGTTACAGTGATTAAAACAAAATAAAGGCTAAAACATATAGGTGAGGCAATTACAACCTAGAATCAAATTTTTCATCTTCTAAATCAGTGATGGCGAACCTATGACACGTGTGTCAGAGGTGACACGGGAACTCATTTTTTTGGTTGATTTTTCTTTGTTAAATGGCATTTATTTATTTTTTAAAAATATATTTTATTGATTTTTTACAGAGAGGAAGGGAGAGGGAGAGAGAGTTAGAAACATCAATGAGAGAGAAACATCGATTAGCTGCTTCCTGCACACCCCCTACTAGGAATGTGCCTGCAACCTAGGTACATGCCCTTGACCGGAATCGAACCCGGGACCCTTCAGTCCGCAGGCCGATGCTCTATCCACTGAGCCAAACCGGTCAGGGCTTAAATGGCATTTAAATATATAAAATAAATATCAAAAATATAAGTCTTTGTTTTACTATGGTTGCAAATATCAAAAAATTTCTATATGTGACACGGCACCAGAGTTAAGTTAGGGTTTTTCAAAATGCTGACACACTGAGCTCAAAAGGTTCGCCATCACTGTTCTAAATGAAGGTAAACCAAATAAAAATTACTATAAATACAATAAGAATTATAAAAGCATAAAAAAAATCACACAGGACAAGATATTAACAGAAATAAATCAAATAAGCATTTATGCTAAATAATCTTTTTAAAAAATATATATTTTATTGATCTTTTACAGAGAGGGAGGGAGAGGGACAGAGAGTTAGAAACATGGATGAGAGAGAAACATCGATCAGCCGCCTCCTGCACACTCCCCACTGGGGATGTGCCCGCAACCAAGGCACACGCCCCTGACTGGAATCGAACCCAGGACTCTCCAGTGCACAGGCCGACGCTCTAGCCACTGAGCCAAACCAGTCAGGGCTGTGTTAAATAATCTTAATATATCTATTGAATATTTTTTGAAACAAGTATCACTGAAAAACTTACTTGGTTCTAGCTTCTTCAGGTCCTCCAGTTTAAATTCTTCTTGGGACTGTGTGGACTGAATTCAAAATATGCATATTACAGCTTTTTATTATAAAGATTTCATTATACCCGATGTCTTTTAAGTGGCAAGAACTAAATAGTCCCAAAGTAGCCAAAATAAATGAATCTATTTCTTGCTTTCAAAGTAGAAAATGACAAGTCTGAAGCGGATTTTTGTTGGTTGTTGTATTTTGGGAACATTCAGACTAACAATAACAGGAAAAAAAATTAAAGTTATATCTTTTATTTCTAGTTTATAAAAAAATGAACTAAATATTTTCATATGAGCTTAACTCGTGAATTCCTATTGCTATAAAACCCTCCTGAGACAATATTGCTCTTAGTAGGCATGCCTAATGTCTCATTAGAATAGTTCATAATAATTTCTTTTCCTTAACTTTGCAGACCTAACAGTTGGTGGTTTCCTTATATCAGAAAGAGGGGCAAAAACCTATTTACCTGTAAAGCTGCACTTCGTAATTCCAAGCATGTTGCAATTTTGCCTATGGTTTTCTGTAGAAAAAAGAAAAAGCTATAAATACCAAATATTATAACCATGAACTAGTAGTTGTCAAAATCACCAGTTAATTTTTATTGATAAAGGATGTAAAATTTCTAAAAATAAGTTAAATTCTCTTTCTTTTTAGCACCTTGCAGATTTTAAAGAAGAGAAACAGGCAGCAAAGGGCTGGAATGAGGGAGACCTAATGTGCCACCACCAATGTTAAATTAAGTTTACTTTGACGGCAGCTTTATGAAATGATTTAAAGGGCAATGAATAGGACCTCCAACCTGTTCCCTCCAAACTCTGCCTTCTCTTTTTCTCCATAAAGCCTGACATTCATTAAAAGATTTAAAAGTAAAACTATCTGAAAGTTAGCATGATATAATTTAATTTTTACTAAGTCCAATCATGACTTACATAATTAAATACATAGGCACTACTAAGCAAAATTAATACCTGTGATGAAGGGTGGCAAGTTGTACAGTCAGGTCTGTTTTATATAATATGAGCTATAAAATGGATATTAAGTGACAGGGCATAGTCCTTGACCTTAATAAGCTCAGCTTCTATGGTGTAAGATAAGACATGTACAGGATCGCTGTAATCTAAAGAAGAGACACATGATTCTGTAAGATTCAGCAGAGTAAGCCACTGTATGTTCTGAAGAAATGGGACAAGACCACATGCTCCAGTGACTGGGAGGATTTTTAAAACTAAAAAGCTTCGAAGATTGTCATGATTCATTTGTCCCCAACTAAATTGAAGTGTGGTGTGTGTGTGTGTGTGTGTGTGTGTTGGGGATGGGGGCGTCATTCTGAAGGGGACCTTCAATAACTAGCTGAGGAATCTGTCATTACTTTAGCAGTAAGTTACACAGAAGGTTTCTGAACACAGAATGACAATCAGATTTGCCCTTTAAGAAGATTGTTGTGACAACAGAATCCATAGGATGAAGTAGAAAAGGTAAAAGACTAAAGGTAAGATCAGTCGGGTTATTTCAAGTATCCAAGTAAATGGTAATAAACAAAAACATGAATGACTATAGTGGCTATGAAAAGATGGACACCCATAGAAGAAATATCTGTAAGAGCAGGCAGCCAAATTATGCCCATCTATACTTTCAAGTTCTCCCAAAAAAGACATTTCTTAAGTTTTTATTAGAAATCAATCTAGACCATAAAATTGAAGTACCTTTGTACAATATTTACAGTGCCTTCACAATGAACTATTTTGCAAACAAATGACATGTTTTTCTAAATGTATAAATGTTTGTTAAATATGGCAGTTTTCTCTTTTGTCAGCTTTCTCTGCAAGATAATGAGGAGCAAAGAGGAGTGACAAGTATCATCCTGGCCCCAGAGCTTAGGCTAGTGTGTATTATTGCAATTTTTATATCAATAATAAAAGCTGGCACAGCAACTCACAAAATAAACCACTACCGAGCAAGATGTGACTCTTGGCTAATGCACAAGTAACCATATTTAATTACCTCCACAATCTAAACATTCCTTTTAATCCCAACATAAGAGTTTAGAAAATACCCAATTTCATTCTGAAAATTTACATTTAAAGATTCCATTTAAATATGTTAAGCACAAAAGGATTCAAGACAGACTTATATAACATCTCAAATAGCTTTTTTTTATAAAGACATTTTTAAATATATTTTATTGATTTTTACAGAGAGAAAGGGAGAGGGATAGAGAGTTAGAAACACCGATGAGAGAGAAACATCGATCAGCTGCCTCCTGCACACCCCCTACTGGGGATGTGCCCGCAACCAAGGTACATGCCCTTGACCGGAATCGAACCTGGGACCTTTCAGTCCGCAGGTCGACGCTCTATCCACTGAGCCAAACCGGTTAGGGCTCAAATAGCTTTTGGATAGAAATCAGTGAGTCTTTTCTAAATAAAATCTAATCATTGTTATTCAAATATACCACTCAACTCTGACAAAACTAATAAATAATGTTAAACATAAATATAATAATATAGGAGCAGTAATTAATGGTTAACAATTATAGAGCACTTACTGACAAGCTCTCCTAAGTGATTTATAAGCTTTAATTCATTTAATCTTCACTATAATTCTATCAGTTAGAGACAGTCATTTTATAGATGTGAAAATTAAACAGAGGTTAAGTAAGTTGCCCTGCACATCAAATTTTTTCTATACAAAATATAAAAAAGCAATACATTTATTTTAATACCATTTGACCATACTTTCTGTTCTTTCAAAAATGTTCTTTTAAAAGGGGTTTTGTCTGTATTAAGTGAGATATATCAATGAGCAAGTCTTAAAAATATTATTTAATTCCTTTTCCTTCTTTACTCTAAAATCCATTTGATTTGATACTTTTAACTTTTAAAGTAAAATGTAGTTTCACAACTATGAGTCTACTAATAAACCTATTTTAAAATGAACATTTCTTCAAGTTAAGCAGAAGCAACAACTTTTCAGCCGGAATCTACTGAACTATGGCAAAATACCAATAGGCATTATTCATAACTATTTTAAGGGACCACACCCAACATCAGTATTAAAAAACGAGTGAAACACTATCATTTTCAGATGTAACAATGACTTTTAAAACATGTTGGATTTATTGGTGTCAAAATCAAGTGCTTGCTACTGTAATTGTTTCACCTTTCCTAGAAACAAATGGACACAAAAATGACTGACAAGCACAGGCCACTTGTGCCAGAGTAAGTAATGTGCACTGAGGGTAAGTGAAGTTTAAATTTAGAAACATTTAAATTATCAGCCTTCATTCAAATTAATTGCTCATGCCTGATATGATATAGAAATGCTAATGCCCTCATTTTCAGAATATTGGCTATTTTAGTTGATTGTTGCTAGGGAAATTGACAACTCCAAAAAGAGCAGTTACAAAGAAAAAGATGGAATAAAAACTAGACAATTAAAGAGCTACATTAATTTTGCTAAAATGTAGTCAATTTAAATAGGTTTTAAAAATACACATAGTGGAAGTAGTATAGTCTCAATCCAGATTTAATTTTTTAGATTTAAACAGCTGGTCATCTACTCTCTAGCTAGGGGGAGGCTGGGAAGGGAGGAAGAGAAGGGCGAGGCAGTAGAAAGGGGATGCCTATAAAATATAATACAAGCATTAGTGCTAGAATTCTCATTATCACCAAATTTGATTCAAAACAGGAAAAGACTTTCTAAGCATCATGAGACATGATGTTCTATTCTGCCCAGAAACTTACATGAGAAAATGTACGACACCAAAGTAGGGAACTTAATGGAATGAAAGCTTTTGGCAGTGATTCTTTGGCTATTAAACCCAGTTGTTATGACAAAACTATTGGGAATAGAAAGCCAAGTCAACTAATCATGAGGGAGGATCAAATAAGAATCACAAATTTTCTTACTTTCCACCGGAAGTCTTTGTGGATATTATGATTAGAAAATCCCTATGAATATTTTATCACCAATTAGTAAAGTTTTGAGGGATCAGTAGTTCTGTTTTAGAGTGCTTTGGACTTAAAATAAATACTGTAGAGATGTATATAAGTTATGCTCTCAAAAATTAGGATTTCTCTTACCTTAAAATAATAATCATATGTGAATAAATATCAATAACCTAAGATTAATAATGAAGCATTTATTCATCAAATATTTTTGAAAGCTTCCTGTGCACCAAAAGGTTGTCAGTTCAATTCCCGGTCAGGGCACATGTCTGGGTTTTGGGCCTGATCCACAGTAGGGAGTGCACAGGAGACAGGGGATCGATGTTTTGCTCTCACATCAATGTTTCTCTCTCTCCCTCTCTCTTTCTCTCTCTCTAAAAATCAATTTAAAAAAATGAAAAATAAAAATAAAATATGGCAGTCATTTAATTCTCAATATGTGAAACCAGCTGATCACTTCCTAATCAATTCCTAGATAGTTTTCACAAATGCTATAGAGGTGATAAAGCATATAGTATTTGTTCCTTTCCTTAAGCCATTGGTTCTCAACCTTCCTAATGCCGCGACCCTTTAATACAGGTTCCTCATGTTGTGGTGACTCCCAACCGTAAAATTACTTTCATTGCTCCTTCATACCTGTAATTTTGCTACTGTTATGAATCGTCATGTACATATCTGATATGCAGGATGTATTTTCATTGTTACAAATTGAACATAATTAAAGCATAGTGATTAATCACAAAAATAATATGAAATTATATATGTGTTTTCCAATGGTCTTAGGCGACCCCTGTGAAAGGGTCGTTCGACCCCCAAAGGGGTCACGACCCACAGGTTGAGAACTGCTACCTTAAGCAAACCAATCATTTCCTTGATGGTAATTATTTTCCAGGGCTCAAATCCTAAATATGCTAAATCTATTGTGGGTATCAATAATTATTAAGAAAAAGAGAACAGTACACTTTTAAATTGTAGCAATGTATTTTTTCTTTTTCAACACAAAAAAAGTACATTAGATAATGTAGATCCTAAATATTTTAAAAATGCAAATATACTATCTTGTGTAAGAAATACGGCTAATCAAAATCTTCAGGGGTTTTTTCCTTTCCAAACTCCTATAAATAACACTCAAATGAATACAAGGCCTAAGGACCAAAATAAATTTGTTTCAGCTTTCTTAAAAAGTCTACAAAAAAAAAAAAAAATCACTCCCACTCCCACTCTTTGCACAAAAAAAGAATTCAAGCAAATTAAGTCACCATAGTTTTCACAATGTGTTTTCTTAAGAGATGAAGGAAAAACTGACACAACTCTTTTTTCTTTATCTATGAGATTAAAATTTGATTTTACATTAGATACTCTGAGCCAGGAAAAAATGGGAATTGTTTCTTCCCATTTCATCTCACTCTTTAAAGTAAAGCTTCTTAAAGCATCCTATTTTTCATCATCTCTAACAGTAAAAGGAATGAACATGACACATTAAAATTTTAATTCAAGGAGAAAGAGCACCAATGAAACATTTTGCAATCTTATGCATTTATTTTGCCAACAGAATCTTATCCGAAACTATTGAACTAATTTTTTCAGTGGTGACTTTTTGGGGGGAGTGTCTGTTTTGTTTTGAAAGGAGGTAGAGAAGTTCACAGTTAAAAATAAGATACAATTACTCATAATCAAACTCCAGTTTATGGACTTCCCTCCCAATCAATGTGCCGATGATCTCCACTAAAGATAAACAAAGTCTAAATGGCTAAGTAAAGAAATTCATGAAGAAATTCACCAAGTGGCAAATCACGTGGTATCTCACGTGATCATAATGTTCAGTAAAGCATAATCAGTATTGTTCTTTGTATAACAGTTTTGTGTTTTGTTTTTGCTTAATGAAATCAAAAGACGGAACCCTGTGCATTTGGAATTTGACATATCTGGCAATTATTTTATGATACCTTTTGTTCTTCTGTGAATTCAGAATTATTGTGTTGAGCTTGGGCCTCTTTTTGTAGATGTCTCGCTAATCTGTAAGAAGAAAAACATATATATTCTTTAGAATTGAAGGAAAGCAAAGTATCTCAAGTGCAACAACGTGAAGCAACTTCAATCTTTTATTCTTAAAAATATTTTATTTACTTATTTATACATTTTTAGAGAGAGAGGAAGGGAAGGGGAGAGAGAGAAACCTTTATGTGAGAGTGAAACATCAATTGGCTACCTCCTGCATGCCCCCTACTGGGGCTCGAGCCTACAACAGGGGCATGTGCCCTAACCAGGAATTGAACCAGCAACCATTTGGTGCATGGGATGCTGCCCAACCAATTAAGCCACACTGGCCAGGGCACAATTTCAATTTTTTAAAAAACAGACAGTGAAGTACAATAATCTATGTTCTGGTTTCAAAGTATAAATGTACATTATCTTTATTTTTTTTTAATATTTTTTATTGATTTTTTACAGAGAGGAAGGGAGAGGGATAGAGAGTTAGAAACATCGATGAGAGAGAAACATCGACCAGCTGCCTCCCGCACACCTCCTACTGGGGATGTGCCTGCAACCAAGGTACATGCCCTTGACCGGAATCGAACCTGGGACCTTTCAGTCCGCAGGCCGACGCTCTATCCACTGAGCCAAACCGGTTTGGCTACATTATCTTTAGAATCAAACTCTTTATACAATGACAATGAAAATACGATATACTTTTCAGAGCATTTCACTGGGACAATTTTGAGCTCTAGACAGTAAAAACAGAATCTTAGAGCTGGAAAGAATCTCAAGTGGCATCTAATCTAACTTTCTTTAGACGCATACATTTCTTCTGTAACAAGCCAATAAGCAGTTGTCCAGATTCTGCTTAAAACTTCCAGTGAGCACCATTAACAGTACCAACCAGAGACACTTCTCCAGTCTATTGTTAATTTGCTGGTAAGATGAGTCCACATTACAGCCATGCCAAAGTGGTAATACCCAACCAAATTATACTTTTGAAAACATTTTTTCATGGAAAATAAAAGAAAACTCCACCAGTCAGCCATGAAAATCATTGTCTGCCCAATTATCATCAAAATTAAAAATAGCAGCTAGGCCTTGGGTGAATTTTCAAGGATGGAGCTGTGCTACCAGTACAGCTCAACAGTGAAGATCCAAAGCGATCTCTGAGGCAGCAAAAACACAGGATTGACTTTTAACAACTAAAGAATCAAAAGACAAATAACTCAACTTAAAAATTGGGCAAAGAATTTGAACAGACTTTTCTCCAAAGAAGATACAAAAATGACCAATAAGCAATGAATATCGATCTTACCATTAGTCACTAGGGAAATACAAATCAAAACCATAATGAGATACCATGTCACACCCACTAGGATGGGTATAATTTTCAAAAAGAGAGAAAAAAAAAATAACAGTGTAGGCAAGGATGTGGAGAAATTAGAACCCTCATATATTGCTGGTAGGATGGTACAGTCACTGTAGAAATCACTTTGGTAATTCCTCAAAAAGTTAAGCACAGCGTTACATATAACCCAGCAATTTCAAAATCTTGGGTATATTCCCAAAGACTGAAAACATATATTCACACAAAAAACCTGTACACGAATGCTTACAGCATCAGTATTATGCATAACATCCCCAAAGTGGAAATACCCCAGATGTCCACCCATTGATGAATGGGGTAAACAAAAAAGAGTATATCCATTCAATGGAATATTATTTGGCATTAAGAAGAATGAAGTAGTGATACATGCCACAACATGGATGAACCTCAAAAACATTATGCTAAATCAAAGAAGCCACAGAGATCACATATCACATGACTCAATTTACATGAAATGTCCAGATAAGACAAATCTTTAGAGACAGAATATAGATGAGCAGTTGCCTGGGGTTTGGTAGGAATATAAAGTGACTGCAAATGGGCACAAGGGGTCTTTTCGGGGTGATGACGATGTTATAAACTTTATTGTAGTGATGGTTACCCACCTTGGTAAATTTACTAAAAATTCATTTAATTGCTTATGTAAAATGAGTGAACTCGTGGTATAGAAATTAAACCTCAATACAGTGGGGCCTTGACTTACGAGTTTAATTCGTTCCGTGATGGAGCTCGTAACTCAGATTACTCGTATGTCAAATCAAAAAGTGAACGAGTGAGACACGTGATGCCGGGCTGCTGTTGTGGCGTTCACTGTGACGTTCGCTGCGCCAACTAGCGGTGGGGTATCTGAAGCTGGCTCGTAACCCGAATTTTAGCTCGCAACAACAAGCAAAAAATCAGCCGAGAGATGGCTCATATCTCGAAAAACTCGTTAGTCGGGACACTTGTAAGTCAAGGCCCCACTGTAGTTATTCTAAACTTTTTAAAAACCTAGGCAAATATATTTTCTAAATCCATAAATGATTTTACCATTTGAAGGCAAAGTGAGACATGATTGTGTCCCTTGAGGGAAAATCCACATGCTTTTGGATATCAGACAAGCAAGGTGCAAGAGTTGCTGTTCTGTTAGTAGTGGTGAGAAATCTATCAAATATTCTTCTCTAGAGAATAAACTCACCTTACAATGCTTCCTACAGATAAATCAGGACTATTCTCAAAGGGGAGTTTTAATTATACTTTAAACACATAAACAAGTAGTTGACTGACAGCAATCTGTGACAGAAATCAGCACTTCTCAAACTGTCTATAGTGAAGGACCAGTTCTTTCCCCCAACTCTGTCCCCTCAACCGGGAGTTCAACCAGGGGACAGGGCCGCCGGGGGAAGGGAGGGAGGCCCTGGCCAGCAGCCGGCAGCGGCTAGGGACCCTACCAGTGCACGAATTTCGTGCACCGAGCCTCTAGTACTTCTATAAAATAAAAATGATCATGCAGATGTTAAATTGCTATAGTTTCTAAATCTTAAATCTCAATTCCTTTATTTATCTCATTGCAGACCAGCACCGATCTGTGGACCACACCTGAGTAGCACTGATGTAAGAAATAGTAAAGGTGATTAACAACAGGTATTATTCAGTCTTCAAACTCACCCATTCACTTTAACAAATATTTACTGAGCATCCACGTGCTAGGCTAAGACCTCAGATTTGGTTTGTGAAATATCTGATTCTGAGCAAGAGACTCTATACCACTCTACCCTAAGTTAGGGATTTGCCATATAATTTGTTTAAATCTTCCAACAGTATTTTGGCATCAACTCTCTAATGTTCCCACAGCATACTACTAAATCCATCCATTCAACAGAATACGATAATTATCTAATATCTGACTAAGCAATTATTTGTGATAGCCTAGCACTACTCTGGACACTTGTATAGCTTGGATATCCTGCCCTCAAAGAGCTTACATTCAAGTGGGGAGAGAGACTACATCAAACAAATATATAAAGTATAATGTATTTTAGATGGTGCCAATTGCAATGGAAACATTTAAGTAGGATTGGTGGGGTAGACTGTGCAAGACTGAGTAGAGCGGGTGGGGGTGGACAGAAAAAGTGTTCCAGAAAAAAGTACAAAAGTCGTAAATCAGAATCTTCAGGAAATAGTGAGCAATGCGATAGCACTTTCTTTTCATGCTTCTGTAATAGCAATACCCAATTCACTCTGAAATCCTCCAATTAGTCAATTTAATGGTGGAAATCAAATCATACTGGTCTTTATTCCCCTAGCTCTCAATTGTTGAGTGATGAAATTGTTTACGCTACAGTATCTCACATTATGGTAATACTAAACATGATCATCCTTTCCTCAAGCACCCCCCTCCCATAAATTCGCTCCTGTATGGAGCATGACCTTAAAAACATTGCTGCCGCCTTGGTCGGTTTGGCTCAGTGGATGGAGCATCGACCTGCACACTGAGGGGTCCCGAGTTCGATTCCGGTCAAGGGCATATGCCTGGGTTGTGGACTTGATCCCCAGTGGAGGGTGTGCAGGAAGCAGCCGATCAATGATTCTCTCTCAGGATTGATGTTTCTCTCTCTCTCTCCCTTCCTCTCTGAAATCAATAAAAATATATTAAAAATATAAAAAAAATAAAGACATTGCTGCCTACCCCGTGAGAAATGCCAATTATCCTAGACTCTCCCTCCTTCTTCACTCTCAATATCCGGTCAGTGACTACAACCTGTCAATTCTTTTTTACATCATTTAGTAGTCCCCAAATGGTCTTTTCTGCAGCCTTTCCTCACAGATAATTAAAATAAAAAAGACAATGTGCCTTCCTTTTTGAATATATGAATTTTAAATTCAAACTTTTTTTTTCCCGATTGACTTTTTAAAATCTTTATTGTTGACAGTATTCCATATACCTCCTTTTGCCCCATTCACCCCTTCTAGCCTGCCCCACCCTAGGCCTTCACCACCCTATGGTCTGTGTCCATGGGTTATGCATATATGCATACAAGTTCTTTGGTTGATCTCTTCCCACCCATCCACCCTCCCCCACCTTTCCTCTGAGATTCCAGAGATTGGTCCATGCTTCTGTCTCTGGATCTATTTTGTTCATGAGTGTTATCATGTGATACTTGTCTTTCTCTGACTGATGTATGTCACTTAGCATGATGCTCTCCAGGTCCCTCGATGCTGTCTCAAAGGGTAAGAGATCCTTCTTTTTCACGGCTGCATAGTATTCCATGGGGGGTCAATGTCCCACAGCTTTTCTATCCACTCATCTCCTGATGAGCACTTGGGCTGTTTCCAGATCTCAGCTATTGGAAATTGCGCTGCTTTGACCATTTCAACCTCATTTTATACGTAGCCTCGTTTTTACACATCTACAAAATTGAAGCCAATCATCACGCTGGCGGTTTTTAAAATCTGAGAACTATTCTGAATGACGAAGTTAAAACGTTGGTATGGAGGTCCAACAATGGATTTGTATGTGCCTGTTCCTCAGGGCTAGCTAACAGCTTGCATACCCAACTTTCCTTTGTAAGTTCAATTGGACATGGTACTCTCCACTGTGAGCTCCGCTGCTAAATGCCAACAGCTGTGGGGTCCCACCACCTCACAGCGAGAGGCAGCTTTCCATTTCAGGGTCTGCAATCCTGCCCAACACCCAGCATGAGGACCCACATAGGTGCTCACTGCCTAACCGGCGAGAGTATGGAAGGGCATGTTCTTAGGTAATGAAGAAAATCTCATTTCCCAAGTTACACACACGACACATCTTAGACAAAGTGTCTTAAATACTATGGAGCAGAGCAGACAGGATTGGGAATTTTTGCAAAACCTCAGATTTCAGCGGTACAGTATTGTGACCCTGGGTAGTCTGCTTAACCCCAGCTTCTGTTTCCTCTTTTTGTAAAATGAGAATAATACGCTCACCGAGTAGTTGCAAGAGCAAGTGCTATCAAGTGAAAGTGCAAATCCAACGATATGCACGGCAGAACCGCCCAGAGCAGGGCTGTTTTCTGGGCCTTTTGCAACTACAGGCAATTCAAAGTCAGTAAGATGGGGTAGGACAGTGGTCGGCAAACCGCGGCTCGCGAGCCACAGGCGGCTCTTTGGCCCCTTGAGTGTGGCTCTTCCACAAAATACCACGTGCGGGCGCACGTACAGTGCGATTCAACCTTCGTGGCCCATGCGCAGAAGTCGGTTTTCGGAAAGGAGATAGACAAAACAAGTATACAAGACGAGTGTGGATGGGGGAGTTGGAAGGAGTCGACCTCAGCGAAGGTACCTCAATCAGATTGAGGATGTTTTTAGCAAAGGCCAGCTTAGGAGTACCCTCATTAAGTTAATAACAATGTACCTACCTATATAGTTTAAGTTTAAAAAATTTGGCTCTCAAAAGAAATTTCAATCGTTGTACTGTTGATATTTGGCTCTGTTGACTAATGAGTTTGCCGACCACTGGGGTAGGAGAACATCTAGACGTTCCACTGCATGGTCACATAAAAACACAAATAACTATTGTAGAGAAAGGACAAAGAATTTAGCTCCTCCAAGTACCAACCGTATATCCTTCCCAGAAGACTGGGGGGGGGGGGGGGGATTTTACACACACATGGTTTTTCATATTCCCTGCAGCCTCAAAACAATAACTTGCTTTAACCCAAGAAGTAAATTAATGGCAACCGTTTGCAATGGCATTTTAGCAGCCAGTTATTCCCAGGGAAATGTGTAAGAATCTAATCTAAGTTTTATATGTACGTAAATCTTGTAATAAAAAAAATAAAAACTCTTACTTTTTTGGGGGGCGGGGGGGGAGAGGGGAAACTAGAAAGGGAAAGAAATCAAAGAAACGGGTCCACACACGCACCCGGCGGCTATACATTACACACAGGAAAAGGAGGAGGGGCCCGGGAGGGAGCGGCGGCTCCCGTGCGTGGTCTATTAATTCACATTTTTGCTCTCTTTTCTGTTCACATCCTG